TGCGGACGGCGAGCATGGGTGGCTCCCCGTCCGACCAGAAACAGACCCGAGCGTACGGCGCGTCGCGTTCCGCGCGCGCCTCAAAGAGCCATCAGACCACCACAGATGGGGCCCAATAGGGCCGATGCCGATTCGGAGTCGCGGAGAACCTAACGGGTAACCGGGGCTCCGGCTCGACGTGCAGGAGAAGGAACGGGGTGGTTTTTAGTCAGTAAGAGTCTGACACTCCCTTCCGCCTCACCCAGGCGGGAGCAGTCATTCGATGATTTTCTCCCCTTAATAAAAAAAATACTCTTATTCTTATACTATTGTATAAAACAGAAGTTGTTTTTTTTTGTTTATTTGTTTGAACGTGCTAATCTCTGTAAGTACAAGTCTAATTTGAATCATTCTTTTTGTGTGGGATAGCGCATTTATCGAGGATGGTTATAGGCTATAAAACACGCTACGACCGATAGGAGCTGAGCAGAGCGTGTGAAACCGCGCGGAAGTAGCACATTCAAGTTTCACTTTTGTAACTTGAATTTGCAATTTTAAACTATCTAATATATCACTTGGTTACGTGATTGCAATTATAAGTATAAACTCGACGTTAATTTCTACTTACATATTGTGGGCCTTTAGCAAAAGTACCTAAGAAAACTAGACCTCGACAACCATTTTTAAATAATAGAAAAATAATATAGAACCTAACGGGTTACCGGGGCTCCGGCTCGACGTCCAGGAGAAGGAACGGAGTGGTTTTTGACTCTCCCTTCCGCCTCACCTAGGCGGGAGCAGTCATTCGATGATTTTGCCCCCTTAAAAATCCCAGCATAGATTTATTAATTAAAATAGTAAGTAGGTAGGTAAATTTACCTTCATTAAATGAATCGAGTCACCTTATTTCCTTAAAATATTGATGTTAAGCAATAGACAAGAAGTGACGTCACCGACACCCGGAATTGAATTTGGAATTCGAATTAAGATATTCGCTCATCTCATCGTTGAATGCCGACATTTTGTTTGTAATCTAATAATTCTTGATCTAGTTGTGTGGTAATACTTGTTTTCCGACGCAAACGTGAATGCGTTGGTAAGATAATAAAAAGTATTAAAAAACGACGAATTAAAAAAAATCCAAACAGAAATTAAATCTCCAACAAGAATAAAAAAGAAAAACAAAAGAAACAACAATGTTTATGAACTTTGTTTTTGCTACTTTATGTATAGAGGGCGCTGTATGAAGATACCTAAAAGAGATTTAACGCCTAAAGCATATCTGCAATCTAAGATCCATAACTTAAAAACATGGGCGATGCAGACACAAGGTACCTAACTACCGTAAAAAACCGTAATTTTTTTTTTGGGTAAATTCGATTCGAAGAAATCGACACGAAGAGAACTTATAAACAAACTTCGAACAGTTTGAATACAGTACGTTAATTTAAACGAGGGACTTATTGAAGGAGGGTATTCAGTATTCGATTCTCGTCTCAAAAATGTATAAAACTTATAACCTTAATATTTGACGGAATTGTCCCATAAAATACATTACTCATGAACACTGTAAAACTCACGCGGCAAGACACGTGCCAGATCACGCAAACACACGCAACAACACAAAAGAAAGCCAACAACCAAAAGTCATTGCCATCTCCCGCGGACATCGTCTCCTGATAACGTTATCGGTAGCGCAAGGGTGTACACTTTGGTATGGTTCTGTCTGTTATTTATCAGTGTTTTTTTTGCTCATGTCTTTATTAGTATCATAATTAATTATAAGTATACACTATTAAGGGTTTGAATATGTCCCTCGTTTAAATTAACACACTGTATAATGAGATGCCGTATTTAAACTAATTATGACGACTAAATGAATCATTGAATTCTAATTAAATGATTGGTTAATCATCTTTAAATGATTTGATTTACTTAGGCACCTACTTACGACAGGATCAAAGCTTTGGTTGCATAAAAAATAATTTATAGGGGGCAATTTCTTCCAATGACTTCCCCCGTCTTGGCTGAGACGAGAGAGTGTCAAACTCTTGCTGACTATTAAATACCAATGCTCTCCGAGCCGGAGCCCCGGTTACCCGTTAAAATTTCCTAGCCTAGGTGGCGCTGAGTTCGAGTTTGGAAAGGTTTAACCCGCGTCCGCGTTCCTTATGATCCAACGGGTGCACACGTGACATTTGAAGAAAGAAAGAAAATGCATTTATTTGGCACACGAAAACAAGCATCATTACAATAGAAATAAAAAATACAGTCAAAATAAAAACAAAACATTAATAATAGATTTTATAAAAGAGAAAGCAGTATGGAGCATTTTTTCTTATGATCCACCGGGTGCTCTTAAGGACGCTCGAGGGGTTAATAAGTTCTTTCTCTCTCTATAGGCAATATAATATTTGAGGATCGTGGTCAGCATCGGAGATAACTAAGTAATAAGTTATTCAGTGGTTTGTATTGCCTAGTTAACTATAACCACAACATTTACACGACAAATAACAACTTTTAGACGTAATAAATCTTCCTTAAACGGGTTTTACAACTCGTTAATCATTTCAACGTTAACAATAATGCCGTTCCATTATTTTTTGTGACAAAACTAAACCTCTTTGGTGGTTTCTGAATTTGTTTTCCTAGTCAAAAAGCTTATGATATACATTCGTGTCTGTTTTTATTAACGTCCAAAGGACAGCCGGATATATAGGGAAGGTTATTGTTATAGTGTTCGGTGTTACATTACAATTTATGTAGAACGGTTTGTCTGAATTCCCAGAAGATATAAAGGCCATGTGAATCCGCATTGGGTAGTTAGTATTAGTATAAGTAGGAGCCATCAGACTACCACGGATGGAGCCCAATAAGGCTGGTGCCGATACGGAGCCGCGGTGGACTTAACGGTTTGCCGGAGCTCCGGCTCGACGTGCAGTAGTAGGGACGGGGTGGTTTTTAGTCGGTTAGAGTCTGACACTCCCTCTCGCCTCACCCGGTCGGGAGAAGTCATTGGATTCCCCCTCAAAAAATAAAGTATTGGGTAGTAAGTATAGGTATTAATATACAAGTCATACAAGTGTAAATATTTGGTGTAGGTAATGAGTTAAAAGTCCCCCAGTTACTTTTGATGTTAAACTTATATAAAAATTGATTATGTTTCGTTTAATTCTGGGTTGTTGCTAATTGAGATAAATAGAAAAATATCTCACATCGGTCAATCAGCAATACCATACCAACATAACATCACGTCCTTTATCCTCGAAGGCGTAGGCAGAGATACACATTACGGCACTTGATGCAACTGTACAATCTAACACCCATTTATCACTATTTATGTTATGAATCCCATGTAATAGGGGGTGAGCCTATTGCCATATACCGGGCACCTATCCAAACTCCGTGCTACTACTGGTATTATTTTTAAACCCAGTAATACTTTGCCCTACCCGGAAATCGAAGCGGAGTCCCCTTGCCGCGCACTTCCGACCACTCTGTCAAGGAGGCAGTGAATCAGCACACTTGATATAACGAAAGTTAAGGAGGTGCAATTGTAAAAATAAAATGAAACACCAGAAATTGGTTTCAAATAAGTAGTTACCTATAGTAGACACAACAAATACCCATCTAACCTAGATAAACGCAAATATCTAACAGTAACAAAGTAGGTGTTGAATATTGACGAAGTGTAAAATCTCACAATGAATTTATTACCCACTTGCTTTATTTATATTAAAGTTATTAATGTGTAAATGACAGTAAATAAACACCTAGACAGGCCATGATATGACGCTTATGATACTAGTACTTAGGTATGTGAAGGAATGACTATGCTATCTATACCTAAGTATAAAGGATTTTTCTTAAGGGGGGAAAATTATCGAATGATTTCTCCCTCCTGGGCCAGGCGGGAGGGAGTGTCAGACTTTTACTGAGTAAAAACCACCCCGTCCCTACTTCTGCACGTCGAGCCGGGGCCCCGGTAGCCTGCCAGGTTCTCTGCGACTCCGAATCGGCATCATCTCTATTGGTTAGGTTACAGTTTTAAGTGTGAGAGAGCCATGTTTACGAATGCCCCGGCTCGACCGGAGTGATACCACGGCCTCACAGTAAACCGACGTGAAACAACACTTGCGTTGTGTTTCGTCGTGTGAGTGAGATTACTGGAGGCCCACTCACCCCAACCACATAACCCCAACAATCCTCAAATGCCTAACCCTCAAAAGGCTGTAAACGCACTTGTAACGCCTCTGGTGGTTCATATGTCGATGGGCGACGTCGACTGCTTACGATCAGGGGATCCATCTGCTAATTTACCGGCTTATTTCATAAAAACGGTCATTAGCTCCTAAATGTGGTGCCAACTGACAAAGAACTGGGTGAAAAAAGGAAGAAAGCATATTCTAGAACTCAAAAGTACCTACACAAGTACTGAGATAACACTAACCTACCATAATGATAGTGGAGGATGGTAATGAAAATAATAAGAAATATCCTATAGAGTAAGGATCATCCTGTCTTTGGATTCCTTATTTAATATAATGCTCATGTAGGTAAGTGTATAAAAACGTAAATAAATTAAATTATCTGAAGAATCCACTTTGTTTTTTTAAATACAGAACAAGAATCCACTTTGTATTTCAAATACAGAAGAAGAATCCACTTTGTATTTCAAATACAGAATATGAATCCAGTTTGTATTTCAAATACAGAAGATGAATCTACTTTAGGTATATTTCAAATTTCTTACGATATGCGTTTCTCTGAATACTGACGCATCTCAATTTTAAGTCGTGCTTAACCACGGAATATAGAACTATATTCCGTGTGCTTAACTATAGTTCTGTCACTACAAATTCTTTGTAAAATGAAAGAGACGGCACGATTTTTAAGTACATCCTTTAATTTAATAGCCTTGCAATATTCGGGCGTAATTTGGGCGTATATTCTTATAAAACTGTCACCAATAAGACATTTTTGGCAACCAATTCTAAAAGAACCAATATTTTCTGTTACAGAATTATGTAGGCCGTTTAGAAGCACAAGACAGCAACCACCTGCTACAGAGGTACAACAGGGGGCAGCCTGTCAGCTACATCGTGCACTTCCCCATCACCTCGCCGCTGCCGAAACTGACAGCTCTCACTGTCAACGGCGACACTGTTTGTTATGGACAAGGAGGTGAGTGTCCCCTTTAAATATGAGTGATCAACTGATGAATGAGTGTTTCTAAGGGCTGTACTAGGGCGCTAATGTAGCTTCGTTTAAATTTAGTAATAATGGGCCATTATAACTTTTCGTCTATAACACAATATGACATCACGCCTTTTCATCCCCGAAGGGGTAGAATGAGGTGCACATTACGGCACTTAATGCCAGTGTACAATGTAGCACCCACTTTACACTATTTATGTTATGAGTCCCATGTAATAGGGGGTGAGCCTATTGCCATGTACCGGGCACATTTCCAGACTCCGTGCTACTACTGAGAAAAACCCAGTAGTATTTTGCCCGACCCGCGCGGGAATCGAACCCGAGACCCCTTGCCCGGCAGTCGCACTTACGACCACTTGGCCAAGGAGGCAGTCTTTTCGTCTATATATATAGTAAACGATAGTAATAAAATTGACTGTATTAAACTGCCAAACACCGCGAGGACCTGCCAAGCACCGGTGACCGCAACCTATTGTTCTTTAATTTTATCTATAATGACGGTACTCAAAGGGTAAAAAAATACAGCATAATAACGTGTAGGAAAGCTCTACTCGTTGGTGGTGTGACGTCACCGCGCTAAGCACTTGTGATTGGAGTGATGTGTCGCCGTCCCTTGCACTCTGCTCATGAATTAGAGTTCCGATATGGCTTGAAACTGATACCTAGAGCTTTTCTCGAAAAAATCACAAGTGTACGCCGTAATTTTTAATTCATTTATTCATTTGATATTTCTATAGGTAACACTTACTTTCTAATAGTTGTTCTATAGTCCCCATTTATTTATAGCAATAACAATAGTACAACCATATTTGTATGTAGGCAGTAACAAAAGTGTTTTAGGCTTCATTGTGTGAGAAGATTCGACGACAATTTCGCTTAACTTTTTCCTCCATTCGTTCCACATACTGCTATAGGCACACAAACATGACCGGCCAAGCCATACTTGGGTTTCCCACATTCTACAATAAATTATAGCCTCCATGCGAATTATGCATGTCATTGTAATGTCTACCTAGAGTCCTAGATATTAAAAGTGAAATCTGAGATACCTAGGCATTAAGAGCAAGTCTACAACTAAAATAAATTGTGTGATGACAATACAAGAGTGGCCAACTTGAGTAGATATAAGTCCTACTTTTTATTATTTAGCTTTCTGCTTCGCACAGCAAAACTGTGGAATGATCTGTCGTCGGCGGTATTTCCGAACCGATACGACCTTCAATCCTTCAAGAAAGGAGCGTATTCGTTTTTAAAAGGCCAGCAACGCACCTGTGACTCCTCTGGTGTTGCGGGCGGCGCTGATCGCTTATCATTAGGTGATCCATCTGCTCGTTTACCGGCTTCCCATAAAAAATCATCCAAAGAAGAGAAAATAGATGTTTTAATTAAGACCAAAATCAATATATTAACAATAGCACATCTCATTTCCAGATGTACCGAGACCAAACACGTACGTAACGACGCTAAGTCTCCAGCACACATCGTTCCTCCAAGGAGGTGGTCCAGTATACAACAGTATTCAGCCACAATATCAAAGGCCGCAGACACGTCCACCGCCACCGCCACCACAGCCGACGGTAGACCAGATATACTTCGGAGACGATGACGCCACTGCACATATTTATACGTTCAACAATGTTGAGCCATCGTGGAATAACAGTAAGAACTTTTATGTCCAATTCTTGCCTTTATTTATACAGATTAATAAAATGGCAGTGTCTGTTGGTAATATTAAATTAACCGCTTTTTACTACATGCATATGAATCATACGATTTACATGCCAAAATAACATATTTTACAATGTTTGTTTGTCTGTCTGTCTGTCTATACCTACTGGCTAATCTCTGGCATTGCTGGACCGATTTTGTTGGCAGGTAGCTGATATACTAAGGAGTAACATAGGCTACTTTTATTTTATTAGAATTGAAAAAAGTATTGTTCTAAATATCATATTCTACGCGAACGAAGTCGTAGGCAACAGCTAATTTGTTATTTAAGTGCCGCCTTTCGTGCTGCAGAAGAATTTAGTGTTTTTTTTATAGATAGAATAGGGAATAATCGAGCTGACGGATTACCCGATGGCAATTTAAGTGTGGGAGAGCCATACTTTGGCACGATACCACGGCCTTACAGAAAACCGACATGAAGCAACGCTTGCGTTGTGTTTCGTCGTGTGAGTGAGGTTACCGGAGGCCCAGCTCCCTCCCCCCTTCCCCAATCTCCCCAATCCCTGAATCCCCAACAATCCTCAAACTCCTAATCCCCAAAAGGCCGGTAACGCACTTGTAACGCTTCTGGTGTTTCAGGTGGCTATGGGCTACGCCGATTGCTTACCATCAGGTGATCCGTCTGATCGGTTACCGCATATACCATAAAAAATATGCTCTGCGCTGCCTATGGATATCCGCAACACTAGAGAAGAATTAATTCATTTGCTTAACCTCGTATGTAAATGGACGGAACACATAAACACACACTTGAACATGGATAAATTCTAGTCAGAACCAGACTATCCCTTTCACCAAGAGGGATGCGAAAACAAAAGAGAATCATCCTGCAATCAGAACCACTGTTGCAAATGTCCCATTCTCATACTAGAAAGAAGAAAGAAAGAAAGAAAAAGCATTTATTTGGCACATGGCACACAAACAAAGATTATGAAAAAAAAATACAAGTACTAACCTATACATCTCTCGATTCTAGACAACTCCCCGTACTACGTCGTGAACAACACCCGTCCCTTCACACAAGCCACGCAACAGTACCAGCCCCCCACCCAGCAGGTCTTCCAGTCCAACCCAATCTATGAATATGACCAGAATGGACCACTGCAGGTCACTTCAAGGAAGCCTGTAACTTACAGGCCTAACCCGCCTGTTTACGAGCCGATCACGAAGAGGCCAACCTACACACCTCCTCCGACAAGCCCTAACCGCAATGAGTTCTATTATCCCACTCCTGAGCCGACACGACCAGCGATAACCAGGTAAGATTTTTTTCATACTAACTTATTTAGTAATTTATAGCGTTGGTAGTTGGTATTTACATTAAAACTGTTTAAAACTCTTTTGTAATTGGGTAGTTTCCAGGGTACCAAAATTAAAAATCTAATTAGTCCGTCAGTTAGATAATGAAAAAATATTAGACACGTATTATTTATTTTTTCGTACTAAATTGCAATACTTAGATAAAATGGCGCTAAGTTTAGGAGTGGGAGGTCGTTACGTCATAACGTGCTACAAAATGTGGCACGCTGTGACGTCACATGATATTTCAAATTAATATATCGTCGAAAGTAAGTATTTAATTTTGTGAGAAAAGAAAAATACGTGTCTAAAATTTCAAATTAATGTACCAGACGGACATTAAAATAAAATTTAAGAAACTACCCTATTGTTAAGATACGTCAGCGTACGGTAGCGTTGATGGCTATTAGCTTTACTAACTTCACTACTTGTCATTGTCACTAGCGCTCTCTAGCGGCGCGGTAAGCTACTACATAGTGTTACCATACGCTAGCTTATATTAATATTGGTAATAGATTTTGTCGTACGTGGGTACGTTTTTGTTCCAAAAAGTATACCATTGCAGTATGCGCAAGATAGGGTTGTGACAATGTAAAATCCAATTTTCTTCAGCAACATCAACATTTTGCTTCTTCGGCATCCGATAACAAATAAAGACCTCAAGTAATAAATAAAAATATGTTCTGTTTCAGTGACGAACGTTACAACATTCAAACTACATCTGATATGTGCGGTGAGGTCGCGGGAGGTAATGAGAGGGTCCCTCTCATCTACAATGGAAGGTCTTATGCGAGAGGAGACATTCCTTGGCTTGTAGCCATTTACAAGAGTGAGGCAGCTAATCTGCAATTTATCTGCGGAGGAACCTTGGTTTCTGATCGGCATATTGTTACAGGTGAGTTGGACATAATTCATTATTATCATCATCATCATCATCATCATCTACCTATGATGCCTAATTTTTATTTTAATGTCCGTCTGGTACATTATTTCAAATTATTAGACACGTATTTTTTATTTTCTTACAGAAACGAATACTTTCGACGATATATTGATTTGAAATGTCGCGTGACGTCACTTCTGTGTACATTTTATACGTAGAAATGACGTTTAAGCCCCCATTCCTAAACTTTTATTCGTTTTATCTAAGTACCTATTGTTTTATTATACGACAACATAAAAAAATGCATGTCTAATATTTTTTCATTACCTAACTTACGGACTAATTCGATTTTTAATTTTCATACCCTGTCATCATCTTAATTATCCTACTGTTGAAAACTAGCCCCTTATGCGGAGAAGGAATGCGCGTTAATCACCACGTTTGCTCAAGATGTACTGACATAAGGTAAAGATAAAAATCGTTAGGTCTCCTCATGATTTCGAGGAAGCCTGACGAATTTTATCAAGGACATAATACAACTTCTTTTTTCCCTCGTCACCATTGCAAATTTACCCAATAAATACAGAACTTCAATATAAAATACTAGCTTTTACTCGCGGCTTCGCTCGCGTCACAAAAGGATAAAAGTAGCCTATGTGACATATACCAATACACACAGCGCCATCTATACCAATTCTTTTGTTTTCCCTCGGGAATATCAAATTTTCCGGGATAAAAAGTACCCTATTATTTAATCCGGACTTCTAACTTAATGTCTGTAAAAATTCAAAGCAATCGGTTTAGAAGTTACGGCGTGAAAGCGGAACAAACAAACAAACTCACTTTCCCATTTATAGTAGTAAGGATGTTGTAATTGTTCCAGCTGCCCACTGCATGCAGCGTCGAGGCGTGCAGACGAACATCAAGGATATTGTGGTGAAGATCGGAGTCCACAATCTGAATGACTGGAGCGACGATATTACGGTCACCAGGTCGTTGAGTGCGGCTTCCATTCATGAATCTTTCAATCCAGCGACACTCCAAAGTAAGTGCAGTCTTAGATTCTTTGTGTCGATAAGAACTTGGAAATTTTTCCTCCGAAAAATCTGGTATTTTCAAGTAGTTTTGGCATGTACTGATAAAATAGTGAACAATTATTTGATTTTGGAGTCACTATTAGTACTACTACCTAGGTATTTATAATAAAATAGAATTGGATTGGATTGAATAGATCAACAGAGTAGCTTCTGATTTATTTTGTTGCGGAAACCAAGACAGTTATTCATGTCCCTGGGACGCGCCGGATTTCAGTGTTCTGATGTTTTCATAGTTATATCTACTGTAGATCCTGGCTTACAGGAGTTGCAGCGGTTTTGGAAGGTAGTGACGGGGTTGTTCCATAAAAAAATATCAACACAGTAGATAAAATAGATTTAGACAGTCTATGCTGGTGTATTTTCTAAATTGAAAACATTAAAGTGTTCTTGTCATAACTTTAGAGTCTATTTTATAATCTTCCATCTTGATTTCTTGCAGATGACATACTGATGTTCACCCTGAATAAACGAGTTAAGTTCAACACGTACATACGTCCGGCGTGTCTGTGGGGTGACGATACAGACCAGTCCCGCATTGTCGGCGCTTCTGGAGTAGTAAGTACTTTTCTATGAAGGCAATATTCCGGTAACTTTCTGAATTAGTTTTCCATAATTCTTCAATAATTAACAATTACTAAAGCTTAATGGACCCCTCCTATTGAACGTCGGCTTCGACTTGGAGATCTCTCGATTGATGAAACGAGATCTTCGAATGGTTTTATATCATAAAGACAATTTTGTTAGTGTTATAAAAGAAAAAGAAATATCTTTCATATAAATGACAAAAATTGGTCTTTTTATTTATTGATTCGTGATCGTGAAGGGTTTTTCTACAAAAGTTTTGTTGTGTTCATAGGTAGCCGGATGGGGAGACCAAGGTGTCGGAGGTATAGGGAAGCAGGGTGAGCCTCACATGGTGCGCATCCCCATCGTCAGTACCACCGACTGCCGAGCCAGCAAACCTCACTTCCACAAACTTACTTACGACAGCACGCTCTGTGCAGGTACGTGGTTTTGATGAAATGTTACTACGGCAAATAATTAGTAGACGCAATTGCCGAGTCCCCAAGCGGTCACCGGAGACCGCTCTTCGCTTACTCTATTATAAACCTTATTTCCAACGTTTAGAGACTGCTTTCGTATGAACCAATGTTGTGGATTTTTCGTAATCATGGAAACAGGATAACTGATGGTTAGCAATTGACGGTGTTCAATGTTCAGAGGAGTTACAAGTGCGTTGACAGTTTTATAGGGATTGTGGATTTTGGCTATCATCCTTTTTATTTCTAAAAATTGGCACAATTTTTTCATAATTATTACAACTTTATAACTTCATTTCTTATCTTTTATCCCCGAAGGGTTAGGCAGAGGCACATTACGGTATTAAATGCCACTGTACAAATTGACAACCACTTTTCACAATTAATGTTAAAGTCCCATGTAATAGAGGATAAGCCTATTGCCGGGCACATTTCCAGTGTCCGCGCTACTACTGAGAATATTTTAAAAAAACCCAGTACTACTTCGCCCGGCCCGAGACCCTTTGCGCGGCAGTCGCACTTGCGACCACTTGGCCAACGAGGCAGGTTTTTAACTTGTATTCTCTTTTTGAGGTCTGTGGGCATTTTAAGTCTAACTACCTGTCTTGCCCCATCTGTGAATTTAGCACCACTATTCGATAAATCAGCCAGTCATATCAGAAAATGCTATAACTTATTTACTATTGTCACAGGTGATCGTAATGGCGCTGGGCCTTGTGTAGGAGATTCTGGAGGAGGTTTGTACCTCCTTGAGGGAGGCAAGTGGAGGCTCAGGGGAGTGGTCTCCGTGTCACTCCGAGCTGAGAACGGCGACAACACTTGTAACCTTAACGAGTATATCATCTTCACAGATACAGCGAAATACTTGAGCTGGATCAAGCGCATTTTGTCAGAAAAATATTACGATTAAAGTTTATAATATTCATTTATTTAAGACTGGAAACTTTTTGGAAAATGAAGCTTGGGAACACTTCGTTTACAGTTTTATAATTTTATTATGGTATATAATTTTAGTTCAAAGTATGGCAACATTGTTATTGTTTATTTCACAGGGACTTTTGAGTTACCTACCCGTCATACCAAATTTATTTAAACTCAAGAGTTGTGGGACTTCCATCAAAAGATTTTGTATTCTAAATACTCAAAAATTGTTGTAAGTTATAGATATATTGGAGTTCCCGAGTCTAATATAAACAATACAATTAATTTTGTACCTGTCCCCTGTTTTACCATTAAAGTTGAGACGTAAAAAGAATAAAGTACCTAAAAATGCATAAATCAATTTAGATATTAATATAATGTAGTTTTATGAAAGTATTTTTATAAAATTAATATTTTGTAGACTTAATGACGTTCAAAAATGTGCATTTTTTAACGATTTTTTATTTAATTTTTAGTCTTGCCATAGCCCATCATCATTTTTTGTTTAAAAAATTACGTCGTAATGTGTTTTTAAAGATGCATTAAGACATTTTTAATGTAATTTGCAAGTACAACGGCAATATTAAAATAGTCATATTTATTTTTATATTCAATTTTGTAGGAAAATATAATTATAGGCCTTTACTAGACAATAAGTTGAATGTAATGTCTGACTCGCCATTAAATAAATTATATTATTGTATTTTCGTTTTTTATCCTCTACCTATATATAAAAACCAATACCCCTTTAGGAGCTAGGTAGGAGAGCCTAGTGTCCTAGAGGAGGTTTCTTCTTATCTTCTAGTAGTAGTAAAACTCCGATGAGAGGTGTTGACAAGAATGATTTTATTTCGCCAAACTACGCTACTTATATTTCTATTTACATATTTACAACTAGACAAGATCAGATATAGTTAGGTAATAGTTTCGACCAATAGCGGCGCGCCGGCGTGCGCGGGGCGCGCGGGGTGCGGGGCGCCGCTTTGCACACGGCACTATCGGTTCCTTCCGTATAAGTATGACCGCGCGAGAGCCGGCGTTGAGTGAAGACTGAAGACTACCTACAGATGAATGAAGATGAATGCAAGTACTCCGGCCTCCGGCTCCGGCTCCGCTTGCGCTGCTTGGCTGCTTGCTTTACCAAACCGCTTCTTTCGAAGCGATCGCTCGCGGCACGGTGTGATAACGCTGTTGCCGCAGTGATGATTATCGTTTCTATGCAGGAAAGTCGAAAACTGTCTTTTTCAAGACAGTTGGTTTCTGGTTTCTTAAAACGGAGTCAAAACGTAAACTGTCTTTTTCAAGACAATTGGTTTCTTGTTTCTTTAAACGAAGTGAGTCTATAACTTTGGTAAAGGTATTGTGGAAGGTATCTGGTATATGGAAAGGTATTCGGTGGTACTGGTAACTGGTAGGTATGTAGTCGTGCGGTGCGGCTACAGTACTCCCCCCCGAGCGAAGCGTACTGGGGTCTTGACGATTCTTCCTGTTCGCGTTTTTCGTACATCGCTGATGCTCGACGGAGGTTGACTGGGTTGATCCTGGATAGCCTCTGGTAGCGTTGCACAGTTGTCCGAGTTATCGTAATTAATGACGTAGGCAGGCTTCAGACGCTCGATTGACACGTTGGTAGTACCTCTAGGTGTTTGTAATGTGAAGTACTTGTCACTTCTGCTGGAGACTAGGTACGGACCCTTGTACGGACGTTGCAGCGGTTTGCGAACTGCGTCGTCACGTACAAATACGTGGCTGCATGTTTGCAGGTCTTTGTGCACGAAGATACTCAGTCGGTTAGTGTGCGACTGATAAGCGGGCGTTAAGCTTGTGATAACACGATGCAAGTCAGCCACATAGTCGTTGTCCATCTTCGTGTAGGTAGGCGATGGCGATATGAAATCGCCGGGTAGCCGTAGTTCTTGTCCGTAGGTAAGTTGAGCGGCACTAGTGTTAGTGTCGGTGCGCGTAGCGGCTCGTAGTCCCAGTAGCACGGTAGGTAACTCGATCAACCATTTGTTGTTGTCGGCGAGTCGAGTCATGAGCGCGGCTTTCAATGTACGATGCCAGCGTTCTACGATCCCGTTACTCTGCGGGTGGTAGGCAGTAGTACGAGTTCTTTCTACTCCCAGTAGCTGAGCGAGATTTTTGAATAAGCTGCTCTCGAACTGTCGTCCTTGATCAGTCGTGATTTTGATAGGACAACCAAAGCGTGATATCCATGCTTCATACAGCTTTCTTGCGACGACTTCGGCTGATATCTCTCGCAGAGGGACGGCTTCTGCCCAGCGGGTGCAGCGGTCGATCATAGTGAGTAGGTATCGATGTCCGCTCGAAGATGTAGGCAGAGGTCCGACGATGTCAATGTGTACGTGTTCGAAACGCTCGCTCGGTGGGAATGATGTGACGTCACTGTGCGTATGTCGATGTACCTTTGATTGTTGACACTGAATGCATGACTTTGCCCACTCGCCAATGTCGGTGTTCATAGACGGCCAGAAGTATCGTTGCTGCATTAGTTTGCGTGTAGTTCGAATACCAGGATGACTTGTATTGTGCACAGCGTTGAATGCGATGCGACGAAAGTCAACTGGTAGGTATGGACGAATGTGAGGCGTCGATACTTCGCAGTAAATCGGCTTGTTTAAAGTAGGTATGACGATTTTCTTGAGTTGAATATTTGTTTGTTTACATAGGTTGAGAATATTGCTGTCCTTTTCTTGTGCTTGAGATAGTTGTTCGTAGTCTATCGGCGATGGTAAGTCGATCGTTTCAACGCGTGACAGTGCGTCGGCGACTACGTTGTTCGCTCCGGTCACGTGACGTAGGTCGGTCGTGAACTCGCTTATAAACAACAGCTGACGAGTGCGTCGTTGTGTGTCGTTGTCCGACGGCGGCTTGCGTATTGCGTAGGTAAGCGGCTTGTGATCGGTGTAAACAATGAGTTCTCTTCCTTCGAACATTTTTCTAAAGTGTTTGATCGCCATATATATTGATAATAATTCTCGGTCGAACGTACTATAACGTTGTTGTGTTTCTGAGAATTTCTTCGAAAAATAGCCGAGGGGAACCCACTTGTTGTTTACAAGTTGTTGTAGGACAGCTCCAGCACAGGTGTTCGATGCGTCACACATGAGTGATATTGGTTGAGTTGGTGACGAGGATGGGTGAGCGAGTAAAGCTGCGTTTTGTATGCTGGCTTTACACAACTCGAATGCTTGAAGTGCTTCATTGTTCCACTCGATTTTTTTTATCGCGTTTCTTGGAGTTATGTAGAAATGCGTTTAGCGGCGCTTGTATGTGGGCCGCGTTACGTATGCTGTCACGGTAAAAGTTCACCATGCCGAGAAATCGACGTAGGTCCGCTATTGTTTCGGGTTTGGGGTAAGCAGTGATAGCATTGACCTTATCAAGTGGAGGTTCGATTCCTTCGCTCGACACTTGATATCCTAGGAACTTGACGTTTTCTTGACCGAAGACGCATTTTGACGGGTTTATAGTGATACCGTAGTCATTTAGTCTTCGTAGTACTTCTTGTAGATCTTCGATGTGGCGTGCGTTGTTTTCTGACGCGATGATTACGTCATCAATGAATGGAAATGCGAAGTCTAACCCGTTGAGTACTTGATGTATGAACCGTTGGAATGTCTGTCCCGCGTTTTTTAAGCCTGGACACATTCAGGGAAACTCGAACAAGCCAAACGGGGTTGTTATGGCTGTTTTCTCGATGTCGGGTTCGTAAACGGGTAATTGTTGGTATGCACGATTCAGGTCGAGTGTGGTGAAAATCTTCTTGCCGTGGAGTAGGTATGTGAAGTCTTTGAGGCGAGGTACAGGGTAGCGGTCGGGTTTAGTTACGTCGTTGAGTCTTCGGTAATCGCCGCATACCTGTATGTCGCCATTCTTTTTCGGGACGACGTGTAGTGGGCTGGACCAGGGACTTTTGCTTGGACGGCATAATCCCTGCTGCATCATGACTTCAAACTCTTTCTTCACGGCCAAGTATCGATGTGGGGGTAATGGCCGGGTTTTGCTATGTACAGGTGGACCGGTGGTTTCAATGTGATGTTCCACGCGGTGTTTGGGAGTGGTCTTCATGCATGATGGTCTTAGGATATCGGGGAATTGACTCAATATTTGATGATACGGCTGTTCGACGTCTATGCTTCTTACAGTTGGCTCGGCGGAATATGAGATTGGCGCTTTGACGGTGAGGTTGGTTACTTTGTCGACAAGACATCGACCGGCTATGTCGACGAGTAGTTGGTGGTGGCGTAGGAAGTCGGCGCCGATGATTGGCTTGCTGACTTCAGCGACGATGAATTTCCAACTATAAGGTCGGCGTAGGTTTAGGTCCAATTGTAGCGTCTTCTCACCGTAGGTAGGTATAACCGTGTTGTTTGCGGCGTATAAACAGAAGTCAGTTGGGGTTATCTTCACACCTTTTCGTTTAGGGATGACGGAGACGTTTGCGCCAGTATCAATTAGAAATGACAGACGTGAGTTTCTGTCTGTTATAAACAGGCGGTATGACGTAGTTGTTGCGCCGGTTCCCGCCTCATCCAACGCACCTTTTAGTTTTCCGGACGGGTGTTGTTGTTCTGGAAATTACACGGACGTGTGCATCGCTGTGCCTCCTTCCCGAACTTGCGGTGGTAATAACAAATTCCAGAAGATTCCGTGCGGCGTGGAGTGTTATCGCGCTGTCTGGACTGGGAGCGATATCGGTTCGATGATCGCGATCTGTTCTGAGGTCGTCTCGACTGACGGTTGCAACGATGGTTAGATTGTGCTGCTTTGAGTTCGGCGATTTCCCTCGTAAGCATATCGATTTTGTCTTCAATACTTGTAGGTACACGGGGGAAAGCGGGGTTTTCAGTCACAGCAGCGACTGTGCCATGAGGGCAACCTCATGTCTGTTCGAGTATTTTGTCAGCCATCATCGCTAGATCGTGGATGTCCGAGTGTTTAGCGATGTTGTCGCTGACAACGAGGACTGCGCGCACGGACTGGGGGAGGTGGTTTGTCCACATAATACGAAGCGCAGCGTCAGATATATTATCCGCGGCGAGATTCTTCATCCGGCGAAGTAACTGTGATGGTTTTAAGTCGCCGAGCTCCATATCGGAGAGAAGGCGTTGAACTTGACGCTGTTCAGACTCCTCATAGACCTGGAGTAGTCTGTTTTTGAGGGTTTCGTAGCGGTCTCTCTCCGGAGGATGAAGGATAATGTCGGATATTTCATCGAGGTCTTGTCTTTCGAGATGACCGACGACAAGCTCAAACATGGCTTGGTCGCCCTTTTTCTGCGGAGACATAATCGCCTCGAACTGCGCAAACCATAGACGTATTCTGTCGCGCCATATGGGTGGGATGCGCAGTGACGTCGACACGCTGGAGAGTTCCGGCGTTTTTTCGTTGGAGTTGGACATTACGACGAGCTTGATTTTCTGTAGTACTAGGCGGCGATTGATTGATTCTTGCAGAGATCCGTTGGCAGCGTCGGGGTCACCAATTTAGGAGCTAGGTAGGAGAGCCTAGTGTCCTAGAGGAGGTTTCTTCTTATCTTCTAGTAGTAGTAAAACTCCGATGAGAGGTGTTGACAAGAATGATTTTATTTCGCCAAACTACGCTACTTATATTTCTATTTACATATTTACAACTAGACAAGATCAGATATAGTTAGGTAATAGTTTCGACCAATAGCGGCGCGCCGGCGTGCGCGGGGCGCGCGGGGTGCGGGGCGCCGCTTTGCACACGGCACTATCGGTTCCTTCCGTATAAGTATGACCGCGCGAGAGCCGGCGTTGAGTGAAGACTGAAGACTACCTACAGATGAATGAAGATGAATGCAAGTACTCCGGCCTCCGGCTCCGGCTCCGCTTGCGCTGCTTGGCTGCTTGCTTTACCAAACCGCTTCTTTCGAAGCGATCGCTCGCGGCACGGTGTGATAACGCTGTTGCCGCAGTGATGATTATCGTTTCTATGCAGGAAAGTCGAAAACTGTCTTTTTCAAGACAATTGGTTTCTGGTTTCTTAAAACGGAGTCAAAACGTAAACTGTCTTTTTCAAGACAATTGGTTTCTTGTTTCTTTAAACGAAGTGAGTCTATAACTTTGGTAAAGGTATTGTGGAAGGTATCTGGTATATGGAAAGGTATTCGGTGGTACTGGTAACTGGTAGGTATGTAGTCGTGCGGTGCGGCTACACCCCTATACCAAAATTAGAAAAATGAAAAAGTGATATTATTATATACAACATGCAAATTCTTAAGTAAATTCGACCCAAAGCGATACCATACCTTCTTCAATATTCATAGCATAGCTATAAGGTGCTCTATAATAATCAGCCACGGCTTTAATGGGAGGTAGTGTTATGTTTCAGCTACTGATAATGGCCGCCAGTAGCCCAGTCAACCCCCGCCTGCCCGGACGTTAGTTTCAATCACAGAGCATGTAATTATAACTGGTTTCAATGTCGGAGATACGCGCGCGCTACGTAAAAAATGCCTCCCAGGCGACGAAATTCAAATCAGAGCTCGAAGAGGAAGTGTTAGAGTTCTTTCGGTGTCATCCTCTTGCGAGCACAAGGGATACTGCCGGAGTTTACGATGGTAGAGACAATAACTTGTGGCGTCTTTTAAATCAAACGCGAAACAAAGTAAAAGTGAAACGGACACATTAAATAATGTGATATGACATGTTTGGAAGCGTGCCTTCTCAGTATATATTGTATAGTCTATGATTTGTGTGCAACGCGAAGGTGGACTTGTGCAACAGTTTTGTAGATAAGTAGGTAGAGAGTGTGTAAATAACTGTAAAAGTGTGTAAAAAACTGTTTTAAGTGTGATGGGTGGTTTATAATCTTATTTACCTACATCAGCTTTTCGGAAGAATGGCGTACCTGGTAAGTAATTGCACTTTTAAAACCCTTGTTAGCCCGCCTATTGAGTATCTAGTAGATTAGATAGTGACGAACTAGTCAGCTGATTTCCGTTTTCATTCTCAGTACACGTAGAAAAAGATAGACAATTGTTTTCATTAACTAAGCGACACATCGCGCGTAATTTGTTAACCACATTATGCAGAATGTAGTCAATACTTAATTACTTTATGTAATTAACTGGTCCGGAGTACGAAATTTCTTCACAATTGTAATCTGTAAACATAACACTACCTCCCATTAACCCGGCGGGAGTGTGGTGCGGAAAAATTACATAGAGTATGTGGTGGGGTGTAACATACCCCGCGGAACAAAACGTCTTCTATCTAAGTATTTCTCCAAAATAGAACAAAATTATTACTAAGTATTATGAATGAGAATCCCTATGATAAAAAATTAAACAAATAAATACATATTTTTAATACTTTTATTACTTTTTTAGTAGTTGAACAATTTAAGAACTTTTTGGTGACACAAATTTACTTGCGCTATTAAAATATTCATAAAATCAACCACAATAATTAAAACAAAATAAAAACTTCTAAATTAACAAAAAATGAGATCTACTTTCATTTAAAATTAAAAAGCACTAATAAAATCAAATGGAATATCTTAATAAGAGGCCTCGCCGTCAGCACAATTTTTGGAAGAAAATATTGCATGTTTGATTGATTGAGTGATTTTCTGCAGCTTCCACAGACATGTTTTGCCTTCCGATCTTTTTTCCGAGGACAATCCGCACATCAAGTATATCGTCCTGAACTGTTTTCCACTGCTGGGCGCAATGGTTCTTTTCTTCCTTCTGTTCAGAAATTCTTTGGAAAATGTCAGATGAAATATTTTTCTGTGTTTGTCGCAACTGCAGATGTTCTGTTCAACAAACTCAATCCCAAACTATGGAGGAGTTCTGTTATTTATCCAGATTATTCTGATAAATTATATTAGAATTAATAGCAGCCATGTGCAAAATTCCATAAAATATTGTCTTTGGCCAACGCTTACTGTTGCGAGACACATTATAAGTAGATTGTCCATGACGTCTACTCCTGCTTTTGTAGAGTTGTAGAAAGTAATAATTTCTGGATCAGTCCCAGTGGAGACAGACAAGTTCTTTTTGCAGCAAGGAGAATATTGTCATCCGAATCCCACTCGCTGCTGATCGCTTCAAAGTCATAACACACTACTTGCGTGTCCGATTCAAGCTTATGCTCACTGCAATGATCAATTTCTTTGGTAGAACCTGATTCATCTAAAAATTCGGCTAAAACTTCATCAACAATGCTTCTTATACGTCTTTCATCTGCTTCCAGTGCCAATTTTATTCAAAAACTATAAAAAATAAAAATATATATAAATATAAAAACAATACACGAACTATGAGGTGGGGTGTGACTTACCCCACGGACGTTTACGCTCGTGAAAAGCAATCACCAGCCGGTATAACACTCAGTTCACGCCACTATCCCCTTCCGCAACCCCTTACCTCCAGCTACACGAAGCCACGAAATCTAGTTATTACCAGTTAAAAAAATATACCTAGATAAACTAGTGCTGGGGTATGCTACACCCCACCACACTCCCGCCGGGTTAAAGCCGTGCGTGGCTGATAATTATAGAGCACCTTATATATTATAAAAAGCACACAGTGTGCTAAGAGCAACGGCCCTTGGGAACGATTTCCACCCGACAAGGAATAACTTCAATGTTAAGAAAAAGAATTACGTAATTTTAGGTTTGAATATTTTATTGTTAGGAAGCCTCGTGCTCAAAGTTGCCAGAATCAATAATATTTTATCGGAAAGATTTCAGAACGAATAATTCAAATGTCAAATTTGAAACTATCAAGTTACGCGCCAAACAGCAACAGCTAAACAGATGTTTTGGTCTGGAATTGGTTTATTGTGATTAAACAATTATAAATGAAATTAAATACACACAATAAAGATGACTTGGAATAAGTTAATATGTAACATTCGGGAGCTACAGTTAGTGGGCACTTTGTCTGGAGGTCAAAGTTTTAGGTGAGTTTTGATTACACTAATAAAGTCGATCAATTTTGCATAAAGGCCACAACTTTCGGCGTGGTGTTTTTATTTTAAATGATTTGAATATTCATTTTATAGCAGAACCAAACGTTATTCTTACTTTAAAAAAATATATTGGCCTTTTCTTTAAAAGCTTTTTCTCTCACAATAAAAAATAATAAATAACCAAACAAAATCTTTCTTCTTACTTTAGATGGAAACAAAACAAAGACAACAACGAATGGATCGGCGTGTTCTCAAAAACAGTCTGGAAATTACGGGAAAATAATGATCACCTACAATACCAAGTCATTGGCTCTTTACACAATTCAAAAAAAGAACAGATTAAAAATAAAAAAAGCAAAAAGGTTGATGTAGACTTTGACAAACTCCTTGAAGACTATTTTAGGCTGGATACGAATTTAGGGGAATATTATAAGCAGTGGTCGGAAAAAGATGCACTGTTTGAGAAGGCCTGCCAACAGTTCTATGGTATCAGAATGCTGCGACAAGAACCAGTGGAGAATTTATTCTCATTTATTTGTAGTCAAAATAATCACATATCAAGGTAAGCTGCGAAGCTAATTAATATCTTATGTCATTGCATTAAGTTCTATTTTAACACAAACAAGTTTTGTTTTAGAATATCCACAATGGTAGAAAAGTTGTGTACTCATTATGGAGAGAAAATATGTGAATATGAAGGTGACATATACTATGCATTCCCTGAAGTTGAGAAACTGGCTTTGCCAGAGGCAAGTATACACTAAACAGTATATTAACTGCTTAACTGGTGACCACTCTCCACAAACTCCATTATAGACCTTATTTTTCCGATGTTTAGGGACTACTTTTGTATGAAATTTCCGGTACGATATATCAATGTATTAAACCTTATTATTTGCTTCTAAAGTTAAGCTAATATATTTAGACTACAGAATATTGCAAACCTTATTTAATGAGGCTCATACTTCAGACCAGGGCTTCCAATAACCTTGAGGTTTATCAGGGCCATGGCTTGATGCGGGAGTAGGAATGGATTGTTTTACAGCTAGAATAGAAAGAGTCTGACATTTCATATCGGCTTCCCAAGGCGGGAAGGCTACCCCTGTCTTCTCTTTTTATGGAATAGGAGGTGTGTGCCTATGTGTGTGTATTACCCGTGTGGGTAAACGAGTTTTTGTGAGGCCGTGAAATTACTCTAGTGGAGTCGGCCCATTCGTTCCGAAGCATGGCACTTCCACACTTTTTTATTTAGAATAGAAAGAGTCTTTTTTTTTTTTTTTTTAATTCTTATTTATTTACAGGGTTTTTTCACAGGAGAAAATGTCACCCCGATTATTGCGTACACGAGTAACTTATACCTAATACATTTAATACTTAATATTACTGATTAGTCTACCCGACACCTTAAACCTATAATAATAATTTTGTATAGTTTTCTAGCCTCGGCCGACAGTGGAGAGGCCAGAATGCTATTAAAAAATCCTACATTAAAACCGCAAACAAAGGATCCACGCCTCTGGGGTCCGATACGACCACATTCCGCTAGGATATGATGCACGTCTTCGATTGTACCACAAACTGTACAATTAGGTGAAAGTACTTTGTGCATCATAAACCCAAAGCTATTGAGCGGAACATGACCCGAGCGGAGCCTCAATGCCGTGTGATCCTCTGTCTGCTCATTCTCTGCTGCTCATCTCTCGCTGAACCAGGGTATGCGAACAAGAGATGGTTGAATGGTCCTATACCAAATACCCTTAGATAAGGATCTTTCATCGAAGTATTCTGACCATGTTTGGATACATCTGTCTCTAACTAAGGGCAAGAGTTCAGTGTGCCAAGGAGCACATTGGTAAAATTCCCCATCTGTACTTGCTTCGTTAGCCAAACGATCAACTATCTCGTTACCTACTAATCCAACGTGAGAGGGGATCCACTGCAGTACAACGGTTTTGTGATTGGCAACAAGATTAGCTAGCATTTTTAATATAGTGAATCCCAGTGGAAGTCCCCTAAAAGAAGAAATACTCGTGCATTTCACAAGATGGAGAAGAGCACTTTTTGAGTCAGTGAAAATAACAATTCGATCCACGTCCACAGACTCAAGATAAGTTAAAGCTTCAGCTATAGCAATCAGCTCCAAATGCATGATAGAAATAGTCGATACAATTTTAAATTTAAAAGAAATTCCAGTTTGCGAATCATAAACGGCAGCACCACAATAATCGCCTTGCTTCGAGCCGTCTGTATACAAACAATAGAAACCGGAATAGTGCGCGTTTAAAGAATCACAACATATTGATCTTAAATAATGTACGTTATAACAATGCTTAGGTTTATTAATTGAATCTAAATTAGATTTTACAATATTTGAAAGGTCCATATTGCTAACCCAAGTGTTCATGGAAAACATGCCTATTTGACTGCTGCGGTACAGATTTTCTCGTTTGAGTATATCGTGAGACTCAACTAACAAAGGTTTTTTTTTATTTCTCCAATATGGATTATTATAACAATGGCCATGTAGTTTATCCATAAACTGATAAGTGGAAAGTTGTAACATTTGGATTTTAAATAAAATTTACCAGCTAAATATCGACGGCGGATAAAAAGGGGAGGCAATACCAATTCGGATTCCATTACATGGATCGGTGTGCTTTTGATAAACCCACCTATTAAACGTAGGCAAATATTTTGTAACCTATCCAATTTAATTAAGTGTGTGTCTGCGCTAGTATCAAGTATAAAACTACCAAAATCAATACGACTACGAATAAGGGATATATACAGGTTTCTTGAGTGTTTAGGATGGACGCCCCACCCAGATCCTACTAAAACTTTAAAAATATTAATTAATTTAAAAATTCGCTCACGAACCTCATGAATATGTCTCTTCCATCGAAGCCCTTTATCAAGCCATAACCCTAAGTACTTTACATGATCTACTACCTCTAACAAAGTTCCGTTTAAAAATATATCTATTACTGGCCTTCGAAAACCTCTACTAAAAAAACAGATTTTCGATTTATCGGGGGAGATTTCTAATCCTACACGTGTCAACATGCCGTTAATGAGATCAAGCGCAATCTGGATTTTTCGTTGCCCCTCACTAACAGAAGAACACTGTACATAAATAGCAAAATCATCCGCGTACTGTGAAATACAAACATTGTGTTGTATATGTTTACAAATATGTGACGTTACTATATTAAATAGAAGTGGTGATAACGGATCACCCTGGGCCAAACCAATACCGGAATATCTACTAATAAAACTGTTGCCAATTCTTATCTTCAGTACTCTTTTATGTAAAAAATTCCATAAATACATACAGATACGTGACCCGACTTTCAAATTGTCTAATACTTTTATTAAAACAGAGTTATTTACATTGTTGTATGCACTATCTATATCTAAAAAACATCCTATAGTGGAACAACCTTCAGAAAAACCGGTTTGAATTGTAGTGATAAGGCAACTCAAACTGTCTAAACACGACCTACCTCTACGGAAGCCGACTGTATTAGAGGAGAAAGTGTTATTCTTTTCCAGAAACCATTCCAACCTTCTATACAAAACAGTGGAAAATTTTGCAAATACATGACAGTAGTGATATGGGTCGGAGTGAAGAAATGTTACTAGGGTCACGACAAGGTTTTGGAATTGGTATGATAGAAATATTGCGCCACTGACAGGGAACAAAACTGTTATCAAAAAATCGATTAAATAAAGTTAATAATTTAGACTTACCTACTTCAGGTAAATTCTTAATCATAGAGTAGGATATGTCATCGCATCCAGGAGATGTATCCTTTGATTTGATACATTTAACTAGCTCCTGAAAAGAGATTTCGCACTCTAATATAGGGTTCATATTGTAAATAGTAGGGATTGGTGGGGATACATAATCAGGTGTTACTGAAAGTAGAAGATTTGTGGAACTTTGGGCGTCTACAAAATTTCTGGGTGAACGGTAGCCTTTCAACCATCTCATTTTGCGCCACATTTCGCTAGATGAAGTGGTGTGATCAACTGAGGAGCAAAAGTTTTGAAAGTTCTCCCTTTTAGCCTGACGAATTAGCTTTTGGGATATACTTATTTTCCTGTTGAGATCTTCAAGGTTTTGAGGTGTGGGATTGCGTCTAAATTTGGATAATGCTAACCTACGAAGGGCCACGGTTTGTGACAGATCTGGGGTCCAATATGGTTTCGGGGAGAAAACAGAAGTAGGGTTTTGATTAACCTTGTACATAGGAATAAATTGGTTAGCCGCGTCATTTAAGACATCTAAGAAACGGTCATAAGCTTCTTGTAAGTCATCTGGTAAACATAGGCTTTGGAATTTATGTTCCAGATACTTTTTGTATGAAGTCCAGTCTGCTTTGCTAAAATTCCTTTTTGTAATAGGAGGCAAGTAGGTCGTGCATAATGTTGACAATTTAATTATTAAATGATCACTACCCAGGTTTTCATTTAAAACAGTCCAATTAAAGTTGATTGCTACGTCAACAGAAACTAGAGATATATCTGGGGAAGACTGTTGTAAAATATTGTCAGCCAAACGGACTCGTGTATGTGATCCATTGTTCAAACAGAAAAACCTGTTTTCGATTAATGAGTCGTAAATAATACTGCCTCGGTGGTCCGTCTTATATGACCAACTTGTGTGATGAGCATTAAAATCGCCCAGAATAACTGTTTTAGAAGTCCATAATGAAAAAAGAGTATCCCAATCCTGTTCAGTTGTAAAGATTCTCGATGGACAATAAACAGAGACAATATATTCGATCGGGTCACAGTTAAATAATTGCACGCACACTACCTCAATACCTATATTATTAACGTGAATGCGCTGCAGCTGCGACTTAACAGATTTGTGTACAAGTATAGCTACACCGCCGTATGAATCATCACGATCCGCGCGATAAACATTGTAACTATTAACTTTAAAACTACTGTTTAGTTCTAACCATGTTTCACTAAGGGCAGCAATATGTACTCTTTCCTGGCGCAAGAGTTCACAAAATGCTGGCAGTTTTGGCCTTATACTTTGGGCATTCCACTGGATTACATTCAATTTAATTGGTTTGTTAGCCATTGCGAGATAAAAAGAAATTAAACAAAGCATTCGCCCACGACCACTCTGAAACAAAACTCACTGATACTAAGGTCAACCATTCTAGACACAACTGAAAGATGCACTTTATCTTATAACTAAAACTGACATTGTTCAGATAAATCACTTCCTTGAGTCTGGACAACAATTCTTTGAATGAAGGACGTTCATCATTCCCTTCCTCCTCAACAGGTAATTGATGATCGTCTTTCTCGTCAGCATCTGCATGCCAAAACATCCAGTCTTCTTTAGGCGGTTTCTTTTTGTTTTTTTGTGCTTGTGTTTTAGGCATAGAGGAAACATTATCCTTAGTAATCGGGTTAGGAGATTGTTTGGCATGTATTGTGGCCTTCGTTTTAATAATTTCGGCAAAAGTAGGTTTCCGAGAATTTACTGGAATGTCTTCAATTGGGGTTGAGGAAAAACGGTTTTCTAAGCTTACCGAGGCTTGAGGACGGAAGTTAGCAACGGAAGGGGTCTGATTTTCGGGTGGGACGTAACATTCTAAGGCTTTTCGATATGTACACCCAAACTCGGACATAATTTCTCTGAGCCTTCTCTCCTTCTTATAAACTGGACATGACTTACTAAGCGAAATATGGTTTCCTTTACAATTGACACAACAAAACATTGATGTATCACAATTTT